ACAGCGCGTTCATATATATGTTTTCGATGCAGAGTGCAAATGGCTGTGCATTTATTGTGTGTTATTTGTGTTTATTGTGTGTCACTTAAATTAGAATTTATTTTTAAAATCTAATAAATGCTAAAATTGATAGCTCTCAATTATACTGTAATGTTGAATGGCTATAGTCAATGGTTAAATATTAGGGGGAAAAACTATTTCATAGAGATTGGTATCGGTATCAGTGATACTGGCCTTCAGTCATAAAAAAAGATGCCATTAAACAAATATATAAAAAAATACACTGTCTTTATGTTGTTTGTACATTAATTTGAAGATTGAATGTGAAATTATTGCAATATAAAAGTATATTTAAAAACATTCATGTTAGGTGGGATTAATCATGATTAATTTCAGAAAAATGTGTGATTAATTAGTTAATTTGTTTTAATCGATTGACAGCACTAATATATATATATATATAGCAGTCTACTTATTTCTAGATTTTGTGATAAAATTGACAATTTCACAAATGAAACTTTCGATAATACCATAAAGACAAAATAGCCAATAGTCAACTTTGTTTCGCTTATAATCACATTTCTACACAAATGGCTCATTGCAAAACAAGTAATAAGATATTGGCTGAAATACCACATTATATGAAATGATTTCTTATTGAACTACTTTTCAGCAATAAATAAAACTAAACTGCCCACCACTTTGGAATGCACTACGGGATTGGAAGATTTATAAGATGCTGCCTTCAATTTTGGTCAAAATTAGGCATGTTTCTTGGTTTACACATAGGAATAAATTTGCAAGTACTTCATTCTTTTCGAGGCTGTAGTCCTCCATCATCTTGTCTCCTTGCTCCTGGAAAGTGATGATGATGAGAGCTACAAAGATGTTTACGAAGAAGAAGGGGAAGACAACGAAGTACACCACGTAAAAGATGGACATTTCCATCCTATACCCCGGGCTCGGGCCCTGGTCCTCATAGGTAGAGTCCACAGAGTGCTTCAACACCCTGAAAGTAAAGTGACAAGAAGAGGCGATGACATAAAAGGAGAGATACAAAGCCACAAGAGATGACACACAGGTTGTGAGCACATGTCAACTCACTGCGGCCATCCCTCTCCGGTGGACACAGTAAAGAGAGTAAGCAGGGCCCAAAGCACGTTGTCGTAGTGGAAATCGTACTTCTTCCACTCCCGCTTCTGCGATTTGACCTCATTATTGCGCTCATACACCAAATACTCGCCCCTGAAACACAAATACACATGCACAATTCAGCAAACAGACTTTTTTCATAAGGATAGGCGAGTATACGTGTATTATTGTGGACCATGTTGCCAAATTCACAATTTTTCATTGCATGTTGTCTATTCTTACCTGCAGTCACGGGCAAACTCTTTGGACTCGTCGGTGCAGTAGAAGAATCGTCCCTTAAAGAGCTGCACGGCCACCACAGCAAAGATGAACATGAACAGCATGTAGACAATGAGGATGTTCAACACGTTCTTCAGAGAGTTCACTACACAGTCAAACACCGCCTGGGAGAAAGAGACATGAAATTGGTATAGCACAAAACAAGATGGTGTGATAACATGTATCATAGCTGTGTAGGTGTGTGTGTGTGGCTTTTACTTTTAGTTTGGGAAGACGTTTGATGGTCTTCAGGGGACGTAGCACCCTTAGAACCCTCAGAGACTTGATGACACTGATGTCTTTCCCCTTACTGCTCCCCCTGTGGATTGGAGACAAACAACAGGACATCAACATGCTGTATGGCGAGACATAAAGAGAGACACGAATTCTTGAAAGACATTTCCAATCACATTTCACTTCTAGATCATTTCTTGGGCTTCCTTTTGCTCTTAATGTAGAAGATAATTTCAATATCACCATGCAACAGTTAATACTGCAGTATTTATCATGTATTAGACGTATTTGTTGTGGATTATTTAAAAAAAAAAAATTCTTCAAACAAGTCTTCACAGGCCTTCACAGATTCACAACCATTGTAGGTTTTCCGTCTACCTTCTGTGGGCATTCCAAAAGCATAACACATTCAAGTAAGTATGTCAGAAAAACTGTCAGGCATTTTGCAGTGCAATGCCCAGCCAAACCTCTTTCTTTCTTTTTGGTTTTTAGCTGTGTTAGAGCAGACAGGGGAATGGAGGTCTGGGATATGGAGGCTGTTTGTGTTAATCGTAGGTAACATGAAAAGACTGAGGGTTCATTGAGATGCAGAAGGTTAGCAGACTTGAGTCCAACTGTATCTTGTCCCTAGAAGAACTTGAGGAAGCTCAAACCAGGAGACAAAGACAAGTTACAAGGACATTTCATTGCATTCAAACCAATAAGGAAATAAAAAGAAAAAACAAGCAGCATTTTTAGTGAACTGTGCAGTAAAAGCCAAAAGGATATCATCCATCCACATATGCTTCTTTGCATATTTGTTTAAAATTCTCTGTAAACTGTTGTGTAACAGGTTGGCCAGTAGGGAGGGGCTTAGCAAAGGGTTCATTAGTCTTAAAATCCAGACTCCTTAAAACGTTTAAAGGCTGTTGAGAGATCTGATAAGAGTAAATAATGTACAGATCTGAGATGAGATCATATCTATCTGTTTATTTCACAACCTAGCTCATTATCTGAATAAAGATCAGCACTTACCACTGTAGTGTTATTTAGTGAGTACTGGAACATCTGATCTCTTCTCTAGAAAGTCTATTTGTTGCCTACGCACACTTATTTTTAATCTGGGTGCAAGATTGTACTGTACACTGATATCAATAGAGCAGCATTTTTAGTGAACTGTGCAGTAAAAACCAAAAGGATATCATCCATCCACATATGCTTCTTTGCATATTTGTTTAAAATTCTCTGTAAACTGTTGTGTAACAGGTTGGCCAGTAGGGAGGGGCTTAGCAAAGGGTTAATTAGTCTTAAAATCCAGACTCCTTAAAAAGTTTAAAGGCTGTTGAGAGATCTGATAAGAGTAAATAATGTACAGATCTGAGATGAGATCATATCTATCTGTTTATTTCACAACCTAGCTCATTATCTGAATAAAGATCAGCACTTACCACTGTAGTGTTATTTAGTGAGTACTGGAACATCTGATCTCTTCTCTAGAAAGTCTATTTGTTGCCTACGCACACTTATTTTTAATCTGGGTGCAAGATTGTACTGTACACTGATATCAATATGCCCCGATTTTGAAATATACAGTATATATATAAGTTTGGGGTCGCTAAGATGTTTTTGAAAGTCTTATATGTTCACCATTTATTTGATCAAAAATACAGTTAAAACAGTAACATTTTGAAATATTATTACAATTGAAAACAACTGTTTTCTATTTGAATATATTTTAAGATGCAATAAATTTGTTATTTTTTTTAATACAACTTTTTTGTAACAACATAAATGTCTAAACTGCCTCTTTTGATTAGTGTAACGCATCCTTGCTGAATAAAAGTATTATTTCTTTCAAAAAACAAAAATCTTTCTGACCCCAAACTTTTGAACAGTAGTGTATACATACGTTATAAATTATTTTATACACAATATTATATACCCTGTTAAATTTATATAGTTAAGAGAAATAAAAGTGTGCTGACCTGTTAATCAAATTTAGTTGCTTTATCAGTTATTAACTCATGCTCGCAATTGCCACACACACACACACACACACACACACACACCTGAGTCTGCTACTCTTTGTGGTATTGACTCTGACTGCATCATTCTCATAGACTAACCCCTGCCAGGTATTTGGCAGGTCTTATACTCTGGGCCTTTCCCCAATCAATGACTGAGGATTCAAACTCATCACACTTATAGATTAGGACAACCCACTGCTGTAGGAGAGAATCCTCCCTCTGCCATGCCAACTCTCAATGCAGGGGGAGATTCTCGACACCTTAGCCTTGAATCAGCACACTGTCCCTGCGTTCCATTCAGAAGGGCTCATCCCAATGCCCTAATCCCTTCAAAAGGTTTACACTCCGGAGTGAGAGCTTCGAAGGGATGAAGGGTGTAGGGGTCAAAAAAACTTTTTTGGAACTTCTGCGTCATCTTAACGAGACGATCAAGGAGGCGCCTTCGTCAAACATTTTGTACGCTGTTGATCCCCAGTCGTGTTTTACGTTAAATATAATGTATATTTGTATATGTAATGTAATATGTATTTGAAATGTATATTGTGTCTATGTATTTGAAACATTTGAATGAACTGATAAAGGTAGCTGTGAAGTATTTTGTTGAAGTACAATGTCGTTTTGACCATAATAATGTACCAAATCTAACTTATTAAAAATATTACAGTAGTATAGAAAAATACTATACATACATTTATAGGCGAAGTCGAACTCTGTGACGCCAAACAACTTCCCTGTGCAAAGAATCATGGGGGCCCGAAGTGTCCATCAGTTGTACCCTTCGAAATCCTTCATTCCGAAGGGCCCTTTGAAGTGGCCAGTTTTGAGCACTTCGGTTTGGAAAGACCCTTCAATATGAAAAACTTTGTTTTCACTCCGAAGTGCACCTCGGAGGGCGATATATCCCGTTTGGAACGCACCGTGTATCAGACACTCGAGCCGGAATGAAGGTGGAATCCATAACTGACTGCAGTGGAGCCAAAATGGCTGCCACACTGCAGTCGCCTCAAGGTGGCAGTGTGGGACAGTAACTATCAAGCAGCACATACAGTGCACAACCCCACATACAACCCAAATATGTAGCAGTTATGGGATTACATGCTTCTCAGGTATTTGTATCAACCTCATTCTAAGAATGAAGGTGGCAAAAACAATCATTTGTTGAGTCGTTTTTTTTTTCTTTTGGGGAAACTGTAACACATGGGCAAGATTTTTTTCCACCAAACCAAGGTATTCTGGGTAATCTGAGATGCTTGCGTGTCACATGACCATGCCTATACCCAGAACGCATCCATTTAGAAAGCATTAGGCAGTGGAGAGAATAACAATTGTTCACACAAAAATAAATTCACCCTCATTTTGAATCAAACCTGCATACTGTTAGTTTTAGCATGGGACACAAATGTACAGATGTACAAAAAATGTATAGGTTTGAAACAATTTGACGGTGAGTAAATAATCACAAGTAATAATGAAAGGGTAAATCCTTTAATTTCGTGTGTGTGAGTGCGAGAAAGAGAATGAGTTAAACAACAACAGATAGGACAGAAGATGAACGTAAAAAAAAAAACACTTAATGAGGAGCAACTGTCAACCTGGAGTCCTCTTTTCTTGTATTTCTTTTTTCCTTAACCTATCCTTTTCATTCTAAGAATGAAGGTGGCAAAAACAATCATTTGTTGAGTCGTTTTTTTTTCTTTTGGGGAAACTGTAACACATGGGCAAGATTTTTTTCCACCAAACCAAGGTATTCAGGGTAATCTGAGATGCTTGCGTGTCACATGACCATGCCTATACCTAGAACGCATCCATTTAGAAAGCATTAGGCAGTGGAGAGAATAACAATTGTTCACACAAAAATAAATTCACCCTCATTTTGAATCAAACCTGCATACTGTTAGTTTTAGCATGGGACACAAATGTACAGATGTACAAAAAATGTATAGGTTTGAAACAATTTGACGGTGAGTAAATAATCACAAGTAATAATGAAAGGGTAAATCCTTTAATTTCGTGTGTGTGAGTGCGAGAAAGAGAATGAGTTAAACAACAACAGATAGGACAGAAGATGAACGTAAAAAAAAAACACTTAATGAGGAGCAACTGTCAACCTGGAGTCCTCTTTTCTTGTATTTCTTTTTTCCTTAACCTATCCTTCTGTATCTCTTGTTCTCTCTATCTCTCCACATCTCTTGTTGTCTCTCTTTTTCACTCACTTTTTAGACTCAACAAATGGAGGCAAAATGATATACAGCTTGACAGCTGGAGTCTGTCCAAGGAAGCTTAGTGCTGATGGAGGGAGAGGAGAGTAACGAGGAGGAAAGGAAAGATGAAGGGGATAGGATGGGGAAGAATTGTTTTTAGGAATGAGAATAGGAAGAGACACAGGACACAAACAGACTTGATAGGGTGGAGAGGCTTCATTTAGATTAGGGTCAGGGGCAAGGGATGAAAATTGGGCGTTGCTTGTGGAGTGATTTTTAACTCAAAGCAGGGTTTAAACCTATCAGGCCATGTTTATGTGAACATCCGAGCTGATAGGTTTCACTATGGGCATTCAGCTAACACACAGTCATTCATATCAGCATACTGTGTGCCTTCTTTTGACAAATATTTCAACAATACAGAAAAAAAAAGTTTAACTAAAACGTTTTGAATCAATGATTTTTTTTATTTTAATAAATAATATAGATATCAATAAAATTAAATAAATACAATACCATTCAAAAAGTTGGAGTAGGTAAGATATTTAAACGTTTTGGAAAGAAATCTATTAAGCTCAGCATGCCTGCATTTATTTGATCAAAATACATTAAAATACAGTTTAAAATAAACCTCATAAATTCTTTCCAGCATTCTTTGATGAATAAAAGGTTCAAATGAACAGCATTTATTTCAAAAAGAGATCTTTTGTAATATTATAAATGTCTTTACTGCCATTTTTGATCAATTTAATGCTTCCGTGCTAAATAAAAATATAAATAATATACAAAATATAAATCCCTGATCCCAAACTTTTGAACAGTAATGTATATATTAATATATTGTTTAAAAATACAACACTTAGACTCAAATATTACATTTGAAGCCACTATATGTATGCTGATAGTTTAACTGATGTAAATAATCAAGTCCACCTTCCTCAGTCTCTCGATGTTTATTTTCTGTTGATGCCAATTTTGCTTTTAAAGGAGTTTGGATAGCAAAGTGTTAAATACAAAACAACAGACCCGTTGACAAACAGAAAAGCAAATTACAACTTAAGACATGGTTATTGGTTAGATAACAAATTACTAACTTGCTACTTACACTGGATTCTTCGGATTTACTAGCAGCATGTAAACTGAAGGTGATTATTTATTTTAACGTCACATGTGTCTATTTTGGCTATATGGGCAATATAATTTGAACTGAATATACATACATGCATGTAAACGCATGCAATTCCAAAGTTAAAACATGTAACAGATAATAATAATAATATATTACATTCAGTATCGTACAAGTGGCTTACCTTTAAGGTTGATGGGAAAAGCTTGGGTTAAGTAAAAGCTCAAGAAATTTCATAATGCATATATCAAATCGAAACCATTCTGAAACGGTTTATGAGATTTTAATTTACCCAAATCTATAAAAAAAATAAAATAAAAAATGCCACGAAATAATATCAGTATATATTCTAATTCCATTTAGAAGTGTGAGGACACTTTTAATGCAACAAAGGCTAGTGTTATGTCATTTAAGTCACTCTGCAATCCCCACATAATCTTACACATACACATGTCTTGTATACACATATATGTAGTCTGGCCTATGGGACTGAGGAGGATGTACACATACTAGATAATACACGCACAACAGACACTTTCAAGAAAAATGAAAAGGGGCTAAACAAAAGTAAAAATCATTCCACGCTCAGAGCCCCATCAGCAGTGTTTACTCATTCTCCTTTCTTAGTGACTAGCTGATCTTCCCGCTCTAGGGTTCAGCTTTATTCTTAAAACACCCTCTTTATATCCCCAGGCTGCTGCTCCCCCAGGCCGTGCAAAGGAAAAAAACTAGAGTACCTGTGGCCGGATGGGTTCTCGCTGATCCAGACATGGAAACCGCCTGGGCACTAAAGGGCTACAAGTGCCTGGAGACCCCTCACCCCCACAGGGCCACAAAGGGCTCAAAACTACCCTTTTCAGCAGAGCGAAAGTGTGAGGGGACAGGGAATAGTTGGTTGGAGGAGTAATGACGGAATGGAAAAGAGCCCTGATACTCAAAACAAGTCAAAAATTTTGATTGTTTAACCAGTTCTGTAGATTACATGTCAATGTATGTAAAAAAAAAATTCAACTTTAACATTCTACTGAATGCAAAATAAATAAATATATTAGTAAAAAATAGATCAGATTTATTTAATAGTAAAAAAAAAAAATTAAATAGATAGATTTTTAGTAAATGTAGATTAGATTTATTTGAAAGTAAAAATGTTGCTCAATTTCATGCTACAGGTGAAGTAATATTGTGTTATATATTTCACCTAAACTTCCTTTGGAGAAATAAAAATAGACACAAATAAGTAAATTATTCACATATAAAATTAATGTGCGATAAAATACATGTTGATGTTATAGCTCACATAATTTGGCCTTGGAAGAATTTGATGAATAATGTTTGAGTTAGTATTGAAATCTCTAACTGTGGTGTCTTGGGAAAACTGAGCGCAGAATGCAACAATGTTAAGATCCCTTCTGAAACTAATATGTGAGATTAGTGCGGTCTTTTTACCATAAATCTGAGATCTGAGCAGAATTCTCCATTTGCTATCCAATTTCTGCCAAGTAAAAACAACTGATATATAACTAAGATCACTTTTGAGCTTTTGTAAGTTTTGACTGGAATTGTTTCAGAGAAATAAGAGTTCATGTATTGATGGAAGTCAAGGTTAAAGAATGAACAGAAAGGTGTTTTGACAAACTATTCAGCATGAAGAGGAAGGACTGAGTGTGACGTGAGACAGAAGATGAACAGTGAGAGACGAAAGATGGACAGAAGTTTGTGTGCATCACATAGTGCTAATGGCAGGAGTTGGATGGGAAAGAAATAAGAGGCATTATCAAGAAGGGAGCTGATTGGTCAGAGAGAGAATAGAGACAGACAGGCTGGTCCTGACAGAAAGTTTGATGCGTGTGTGTTTAACGTGAGAAAGGCCTTCATCTTTGTGTCTGATTGAGTGAGACAGAATGCAAAGTGACAAAAAATAGAGATAGAGAGCTTAGAAGAAGGGCACACAGTGCTGACAGGAGAAGAAAAAAGAAAGAGACCAAGAGAGAAAGGGGCAGAGAGTACTGACGAGGCTCCAGGGTGGCAGTGGGGCAACAGGGTGGTGGAAGAGAAGATAAGGGGCAGCAGGCAGCACTTTGGGGCAGGTGGGGTAAAGGGCACTTACGTGAAGGCAAAGGCTACCAGGGCACCACTAACCACTACAAAGTCCAGAAAGTTCCACAGGTCACGAAAATATGAGCCCTCATGCAAAACCAAGCCTAACACCACCATCTGAAAAACAGTGCAGAGGGTTAAAACAAATAGATAAAATTAGATGCTACAACTCAACCGCACAAGTCATTTCACACACACTTTACCTTGATGAGCATCTCAAAGGTGAAGACAAATTCAACTTTAACATTCTACTGAATGCAAAATAAATAAATATATTAGTAAAAAATAGATCAGATTATTTAAAAATAAAAAAAAAAAAAAAACTATGTTATGTGTCATGGAATTTCTAAAAAAATTAAATAAATAGATTTTTAGTAAATGTAGATTAGATTTATTTGAAAGTAAAAATGTTGCTCAATTTCATGCTACAGGTGAAGTAATATTGTGTTACATATTTCACCTAAACTTCCTTTGGAGAAATAAAAATAGACACAAATAAGTAAATTATTCACATATAAAATTAATGTGCGATAAAATACATGTTGATGTTATAGCTCACATAATTTGGCCTTGGAAGAATTTGATGAATAATGTTTGAGTTAGTATTGAAATCTCTAACTGTGGTGTCTTGGGAAAACTGAGCGCAGAATGCAACAATGTTAAGATCCCTTCTGAAACTAATATGTGAGATTAGTGCGGTCTTTTTACCATAAATCTGAGATCTGAGCAGAATTCTCCATTTGCTATCCAATTTCTGCCAAGTAAAAACAACTGATATATAACTAAGATCACTTTTGAGCTTTTGTAAGTTTTGACTGGAATTGTTTCAGAGAAATAAGAGTTCATGTATTGATGGAAGTCAAGGTTAAAGAATGAACAGAAAGGTGTTTTGACAAACTATTCAGCATGAAGAGGAAGGACTGAGTGTGACGTGAGACAGAAGATGAACAGTGAGAGACGAAAGATGGACAGAAGTTTGTGTGCATCACATAGTGCTAATGGCAGGAGTTGGATGGGAAAGAAATAAGAGGCATTATCAAGAAGGGAGCTGATTGGTCAGAGAGAGAATAGAGACAGACAGGCTGGTCCTGACAGAAAGTTTGATGCGTGTGTGTTTAACGTGAGAAAGGCCTTCATCTTTGTGTCTGATTGAGTGAGACAGAATGCAAAGTGACAAAAAATAGAGATAGAGAGCTTAGAAGAAGGGCACACAGTGCTGACAGGAGAAGAAAAAAGAAAGAGACCAAGAGAGAAAGGGGCAGAGAGTACTGACGAGGCTCCAGGGTGGCAGTGGGGCAACAGGGTGGTGGAAGAGAAGATAAGGGGCAGCAGGCAGCACTTTGGGGCAGGTGGGGTAAAGGGCACTTACGTGAAGGCAAAGGCTACCAGGGCACCACTAACCACTACAAAGTCCAGAAAGTTCCACAGGTCACGAAAATATGAGCCCTCATGCAAAACCAAGCCTAACACCACCATCTGAAAAACAGTGCAGAGGGTTAAAACAAATAGATAAAATTAGATGCTACAACTCAACCGCACAAGTCATTTCACACACACTTTACCTTGATGAGCATCTCAAAGGTGAAGACACCAGTGAAGACATAGTCAAAGTAACGCAATACCTGGAAAACAAAAAGCAAATGCATAATCTATATGAGAACAAATCCATGTTAATCTACGTTTTTGTCCTAATTAGCTGTTATGACCAGCTGTTTGTTGCTTGAGTATAAATACATTTATTAGTAAAAGCAGATTAGATTTATTTAGGTTTAGTTTCACGTTTTGGTAGAATTTGTAAAAAAAAAAAAATCAAACCAATTTAAACTTTTTTTAGTTTCACATTATGCAAGACCATTAAAATTACTTCTAGAAAGCTTAGTTAGGTCACAAATAATATTCAGAACATTAGTCTTACATTGTTTCGAGGTGATTCCGGCCACACCGGATCTTCCGCAGCTAAAGCAATGCTGCTCATAGCGATGACTGACAGAATACACATCTCGAAATAACGTAGCGTCAGGATGTAATGACAACATCTTCGGAACCTGAAAATTCACATTGGTTAAGATAAATACATTTACTTTGCACACATGCGCTTACACAGATGAACACACACTTACGGGTTGGTTGTGGATAGGATGAAACAGGAACTGAACGGTGGAATAGGTTTGGGGCCGTCTTCATCGCCACCATCGTCTTCCTCCTCCTCTTTCTTCTCTCCTCCTTTAGCTGGCTCTGTGTTGGCATTCTTGTTCACTGCACAGTGAAGGGAATGTGGGACGAAGGACATGTTTGTGGGATGAAATCCACAAACATCATCAAATATCAAAAACAGTACAACATTTGCTTTTACTAACACACATAAATGCATCTTACTCATCGACACACCTGCACAGAATCTGTGCATGTTGAATTCTGTATAAGAGTTCTGTATAAAAACTTATTTGGTTTTCCTTATAATAATTGCATTTTAAAAGTTTTTGAATGCAATTATTATTTTTATTTATCACTTCAATTTTTATATTTAAATAACATTGTTTTCTTAATGTGTATTTTATAAAATAAAACCTACAACCTAATGTTTTCAGTTAATTTAAAACTTTTTCAGCTACCTGTTTTTTTCAGTCACCAACTCCATTTGACACATTTTACCACATATAAATCCAGTTTATCAAATCAATGCAATAAAATGTGAACAAAGGCGTGCAGATGGGCCTAAGATTCATCCAAAAAACAAAAATGTATTCATCCTCATGTTGTCATAAATCTGTATGGCTTTCTTTCTTCTGCAGAACATACAAAAAAGAAAAGAAAGATACAAGAAAGAGTGTTTCAAAATTGTGAAAACTCTTTTTGCCCTTGGAATGAAATAGAAAGAGATACAAAAAAACCCACTGGACTATTGAGATTTATTGTATATAAAAAAAAAGAAAGAAAAAAAAAAGGGTTTTTCATTTTTAGGTGAACTGTCCCTTCCCTTTAAATGCACCTAGAATTTTCTGTAATCACACATGCACATGCTCGTCCCTCACCTTGTAACTTGGCGTTGAATGAGGGGTAAATCGGAGGCATATCTATGGCAGTGTGGTCAAGTTTACTGGGGGTTTTGGTGCAGTCTGTCAGTATAAGACTGCTGTCATGGAAATCTGGTCCACGCAGGTTCAGCAGGTTATTGGCCTGCTCTGGGTCACAGTAGGGGTCATAAAAGTCGGGGTCAGGGTTGTGGATGGCCATCTTGCTGCTATTGCGCAGGTTGTCCAGATCCTCGCTGTACTGGCTCTCTGCATGAGGAAGACCAGGCTGAATTGGACGAGCCGTTGATAAGCTACCTTCTCTAAAAAAAAACAAAAAGTGAGAGGCAAGACGTTAACAGCTGAAACAACAGTAACAGTATGCTGTATCTAGCCACATTTATTTTTTTAATAAAAAATACTTTTATAGTTTTTATTAATATTTTGAATGGGTATTTATTTTATATTTAAATTTGAGTTATTTTAGTACATCAACTCTAACTTGGCAACTAACTGAAATAAAAAAAAAATGCGTTACAGTAGGCCTTAATACATAGGTCGTCTGTCTCAATGTTAATCAAACAATAAAAGAAAAAAGGAAATCACTCAGTGCTCTTGATTGAACTACTTTATTTGTAATGAACACACTAAAGACTATGCAGTGATTTTTACATTTGATTATTTGTTCTGATTCTCTTTAGATGTAAAATGAAGAAAGTAAAGCACGGTTCATTTAATTTGTTTCTTTCTTATATTTTTCTACTGTTTGTTTGTTTGTTTTACGGTTTATTTGAACATATATATTTCCTATAGATTTTTGTGTGCCGAATTTGGTGGTATTACCAGAGATTTTAAGGTATGGTTGCTAGGTGATTTTGTTTTGGAACGTTCAGAAAACTTTAACTAGATTATTCTCAAAATTGACTTTGCTGACTATCAACTTCAAACAGGTGTACAGTAGCTCAGTCATTTTTTTTTTTGTCCGATTCCAACAAATTATACATCATTTTGAAGGTTTTTTTGATAGAGAATGTGAAAATATCAATAGCTCATTTTGCTCACTGTGACTAATTTTGTCAGCACGGGTCACCTATATTTTTTGCAATAATGCAAAAGTTACTCTCTCCTTTGATCAATGAAATGCATCAATGCTGAATAAAAGTATTATTTTCTATAGACCTTACATGAAATTTGACAATTAAATGATAGTTTTGTACCTTTAATGTAGGTAAAGGTCTTTTGTTTTTGTCTAAATTATCATTTAGTTGATTTTTATTGTTAGTTTTATAGTTTTTGTAAAATAGCGCTCTACACAGGAAATCATCACTCTCAAGTTGTGATCTAGGATTTGTCTCTGACCTTCCAGTGATCTTCTGCATCAAGTTCATTGTAAAGCGCCTCTCTGCTGGTCATCAGGTTTTGTCTGCGCATCTCACTTGTGCGCTGCTCCCACACTGACTTGGAAACTTTTGAGTTCTTCTGCTGCTCTTTACTACAGAGTAAAGAAATAAAGAGAGACAGAAACAGAGAACAATTTCAACCCACGGAGGAAGAAAAGCCTTGGATTTTCCCCCCTAAAGCACCTATGAGCAATGACCCAGAGTGAAAGAAAATGATAGTGTCCCTTAGTCCCCAGCAAGAGAACATGGATGTGGCTCATGAATTCTGTGAAGGGAGTGATGACATACTGAATAGCATTGAGGCATGTTCAGACAGACAGATAGAGAGAGAAAGGCAGAGATGGATCGAGACCAAAACAGCGAAACAAGCAGCCCTGTGCCTGCAGTCCTGCTGTGGAAGAGACAGTGTGCGTCATCACAGCCAATGATACCTCAGCGTTACAACACAAAACTGCAGCTACAGCAGCTGGAAACACAAAAACACCCATACAAAAACATGTGTAAGGCGGAAAGCAAAAGAAAAAGGGATACAGAATGAAAAAAATGAGTAAGTAAATGAATAAATACCAGTCCAGCAAACTGTCTGTGGCATCGATACGTTCAGATTTTACTGTAACTCTGAGGAGAGGGGGTGAAACAAGGAACATAAAAACAACGCTGCCACAACTATCACAGAAAATAACTGACAAAGTGAACAGGCTACACAGTGACTTAAGTAAGTGTAGGGATAACCTAGCATAAACCGGCTATTCCACTTTTCAAAACAAGCTTTACTTCTTAAACCTACTTGCTGACAGACTAACCAAATTGTAGGTTTGTGCCAATCCTAAAATTGATCAGACTAACCATGATTTATTCACTAAACAAAATGGATTTATGCACTAAAAATCTTCACTATAAATGTGTAATACCATGTCCGGTAACACTTTATAATAACTTTCATTAATAAATCATTAACAAATATTATATAATGCTTAACAGATCATATACAGTTAGTTAATATACAGGTACATCTAAAAAAAACTTAGAATATCATGAAAAAGGTCAATATTTTTTGTCACTCATTTCAGAAAGTGAAACCCATATATTACATAGATTCATTACACAGAGTGAAATATTTCAAGCCTTTATTTCTTGAAATTTTGATGATTATGGCTTACAGATTCTCTATGGGGTTCAAGGTCAGGCGAGTTTGCTGGCCAATCAAGCATAATAACACCATGGTCTTTGAACCAGCTTTTGGTACCTTTGGCAGTGTGGGCAGGTGCCAAGCCCTGCTGGAAAATGAAACCAGCATCTCCATAAAGGAAGCATGAAGTGCTCTAAAATTTCCTGGTAGATGGCTGCGCCCACACTTCCAAATGTACCAAAAGCTGGTTCAATGACCATAGTGTTACTGTGCTTGACTGGCCTGCAAACTCGCCTGACCTGAACCCCATAGAGAATCTATGGGGTATTGTCAAGAGGAAGATGAGAGGCACCAGACCCAACAATGCAGATGACCTGAAGGCCGCTATCAAAGCAACCTGGGCTTCCATTACACCTGAGCAGTGTCACAGGCTGATTGCCTCCATGCCACGCCACATTGATACAGTAATTCATGCAAAAGGAGGCCCAACCAAGTATTGAGTGCATAGAAATGAACATACTTTTCAGAAGCCTGACATTTCTGTTTAAAATATCCTTTTTTTATTGATCTTATGTAATATTCTAATTTTCTGAGACACTGAATTTTGGGTTTTCATTATCTGTAAGCCATAATCATCAAAATTTCAAGAAATAAAGGCTTGAAATATTTCACTCTATGTGTAATGAAACTATATAATATATGGGTTTCACTTTCTGACATGACAAAAAATATTGACCTTTTTCTTGATATTCTAATTTTTTGAGATGTACCTGTATATTCACATATCTAGAAATATGAGATAATATGTTTACTAATGCACTTATTAATCATTATCTGATGATTAACAGATCATTAGCCCCTTTCACACAGTAATTCCAGTAAATTGTCGTAAAATTACCAGAACGACTTTACCGGTAAATACAAAAATGCACTGTTCACACAAGCAAGGACGTTTCGGCTTTTTATCGGTAAAGCACCATTCACACATCTGTTTCAAAATACTGGTAAATTCTGTGACATCATTAACTAGAAATGACCTCTTAATGACCTCTTAGTACCTTTATGTGCAGTCATCTCGATGGCAAAATGTGTCCCTAATGACCTGAATTCACCCTATTTGCACATCTTTACAAATCATTTATTAATCATTTGTTCATGTTTCTGCAATACCCAATCTAAAGCAGAAACTATTCATCATTTGTAAATGTTCATAAACATTTACTAATCTTTTAGGATCTTTATGGACATTGGACTTTTAGCTGCTGTAACAACATTTGTGTAAAGGGTGGTTAGTTAAGTTTATCTAAATGCTTGCTAAAGACATCACGCACATTGTAATTTGGGTGAAAAACATGTTTTTATTGCCTCAACACTTATGTTAGTATACTACTGTATACCATTAAACAGGATATTCCTTGAATCATACATCAACAGGAGAAAATAAAAATTTTTTTCAAGAAATTACTTCATTTATCAAAACAATCTAATATAAACAGAATGAACCATGTTCCCGTTTAGTAATCAAAATGACCCCTGTACACCGTTGACCCCTTAACCAACCCATAAACCTACCCATACCACCAAACCTGTCCCTAACCATACCCATATCACACCCCAATAGCAGCAAAAGTGTTGTACATAAACAAACGTTTTTAATCACCGTATAACATCTGTTAAAATCATTGGTAGATTTTCAAGATGTGCATGATCATATGAATTAAAAGTTTAATGACAGAATCATACATCAACAGGAGAAAATAAAAATTTTTTTCAAGAAATTACTTCATTTATCAAAACAATCTAATATAAACAGAATGAACCATGTTCCCGTTTAGTAATCAAAATGACCCCTGTACACCGTTGACCCCTTAACCAACCCATAAACCTACCCATACCACCAAACATGTCCCTAACCATACCCATATCACACCCCAATAGCAGCAAAAGTGTTGTACATAAACAAACGTTTTTAATCACCGTATAACATCTGTTAAAATCATTGGTAGATTTTCAAGATGTGCATGATCATATGAATTAAAAGTTTAATGACAGTTGTAAGCATTTTAATTTACATGAAATAATAATCTGTTAATCATTAGGTAATGTTTCATAAGTTTATTAGTAAACATTATTCCATGGTCTGTCTGAATACTGGATTCTGATTGGCTGGCGTGTATGCAGTAAAACCGTTTAAGGCACAGGCAGTTCCAAGTCAGTTTAATCACCGTTCCATATTAATGCGCTGCTTTAATTGATGCACACACATACACACACAGAGAGAGAGAGAGAGAGAGAGAGAGAGAGAGAGAGAGAGAGAGAGAGAGAGAGCGAGAGTGTGAGAGATCGCAGATTGCACAGCACACACACATAAACTTATTATCAACGCTTTCCAGCGATTTTTATTAATAAAATAGCCTAGATACGAGATCGCTACATTATATTCCTCAGCAACGATGGTAAAATGGCTGTTTCTGAAGTAATTGTTTGTAGAGAGAGACGCACAGACGCAGCACACAACTGTCATCTCTCCCTCTCTCTCTCTCTCGATCGATAATTAATTGAAATACATGCTATATTTCATTCAAATAAATGTGGTCTTACCGCACTATTTCATCGCTGTGTCTGATTTGAAGCGGGCAGAATGCTAGCGCTAACGTGCCGTAACTGACGAAAATAACTGTCATTTTTACTCATTCGGTCAAATATTGTGCTGCAAAGAGCAATACTAGTTTTAATTTGTCTATAACTTGGCAAATGACCATGGAATAAGTGGGATAATCAACGGCTAGCCGTGCATTAAAGGATTTTAAATGCACGACGTGGAGGCAAAGAACCGCCCGACGCGAAGCGGATCCCTTACCTAACAAGCAAATTATCTCATGTTTTCAGATGTTTTAATATATATTAACTAATGATCCATTAAGCATTACATAATGTTTGTTAATGAGTTATTAATGAAAGTTATTATAAAGTGTTACCTTTGAAAATTAGACTGGATTTCCATGAAATAAACACATTTTAGACCACAAGGGGCCCGTTCTTCGTACGCTGCTAACTCAGTTAGCTGGATTTGATTGTTGACGATTTGGCATGATCTTGGATTGTTTGGTTCTTCGAAGCTCATCCCGGAGTTGCTGTCATAGCAACAGGTCCGTAAGCTTAAACCTGCTCGGGAGCAGGCTTATTTCATGTAAACAGGATTAGATTGCATCTTTTTAAGCAGAATTGATACTTAACATCTGTCCACTACCACCGCTACTTTATTACAAGAGTACCCTACTAATCCAGGGACAATAATTTAAAATGATAATAATAATTTAAATTTTTTTTTTAAGATAATATAATAATGTTGTGTAGTCTTTAATACTATAGACACAGCCAGTTTTACTCACTGAAAGATTTATTAGTCATAAAATGATTACTTCATAACTGTATTCGAGTCTTACACACATGCTGTACAGATAATGTAGAGTCGTGCATTAATTTGAGTGCTGGCAGATATTATGGGAGTGGCTTGATGGAGCGCAGGAGATGCAGATAACATGATCTTGACCCTTAAGAAACTTTCATTAATGCTGTCAGGTAACAAATCTTTTCAAATATAAAATTAAATGAATTGCTAATTACTACATTGAAATAAAAATGTAAAGCCTGTACAAATATTAGAAATCGTGAATATAAATAATTGGGAATCATGTAAAGAATTAAAATAAAATAAAAACAGTGCACATTTCATTTATCTATCATAGCATTTATGTAGTTTTGTTCGCTTGGCTGTTTCCTTATAAAAGTCAAAAAATTGGTCAAGTTTTTCATCAGGTGTCTTTTTTTTATTTTATGATGTCATAACGTTGCTGCCGCCAGCCAATCGCTGCATTGCTGATCGTGGTTCCGAGTATCATAATGTTTGTTAATGAGTTATTAATGAAAGTTATTATAAAGTGTTACCTTTGAAAATTAGACTGGATTTCCATGAAATAAACACATTTTAGACCACAAGGGGCCCGTTCTTCGTACGCTGCTAACTCAGTTAGCTGGATTTGATTGTTGACGATTTGGCATGATCTTGGATTGTTTGGTTCTTCGAAGCTCATCCCGGAGTTGCTGTCATAGCAACAGGTTCATCTCGGATGTAATAAGCGACGTACGAAGAACGGGCCCCAGGGTCCGTTCTTCATATGTGGATTATTCAGTTAGCTGGATTTTATTGTTGGCGATTTGACATGATCCAGGATTGTTAGATTCTTCGAAGCTCATTCTGGAGTTGCTGTCATAGCAACAAGTCTGTTAGCTCAAACCCGCTAGGGAGCAGGCTTATTTCAGGTAAACAGGATTAGATTGTATCTTTTGAAGTGAAGGTGATACTGAAAGTCTCAGCCACTGCTACTTTATTACAAGTGTACTTTACTAAACCAGTAAAAAAAAAAATATATATATAATAATTTAGACATTATTTTGAAAGTAATTAAAATGTTGCGTAATCTATAATAGACATGACCAGTTTTACTCATTAAGAGATGCTGTGTGTGTGTGCATTTTGGATGGGATAAATGCAGAGCACTAATTCCGAGTATTGGCCACATGTCACGTCACTTATGTCTTAAGACTTTAATTAATTAAATTAAAACTTTAATTAATGCTGTCACGTATAACTGCAAAATTAAATGAATTACTAATTACAATACTCTTGAAATTGAAAAATACAAAGCCTGTAAAATTCTAGAAATGGTGAAAAATGTGGAATCGCTTAAAAAAACATTACACATTTTATTTATGTATTAGACCTTTAATGTCATTTTGCTGGCTAGGCTGTTTCCTTGATCTTAATTATATGATGTTATTACATTGCTGTCTCTCCAACCAGCCAATCACTGCACTGCTGATCATGGTTTCTAGTAACAATATATCTGCCCTTTCCAATGAGCATGTCAACACGGAGTAATCTCAGACAACTTAATCCAGATATTTTAATCAAATTCTCTAACTTGTTTGAAGAACAAAATTAGCCAGAGATCAGTTATCAGGATTAAAAGATCTGGCATCTGTCAAATTATCTCAGATGTATTAAGCGAGGTACGAAGAATGGACACCAGATATAAATACGGCTTAGATGCATAGATTCGACCCATTTAACAGGTGCATAATTTTAAGTTATAACAGCCTGAGCTGGTGACAAACAATAACAATTCAGTGAAATAATCTAATCTGCAACCAATTTTCTAGACCTCTAAACATGAAAAAAATATATAAGAAAAAAAATTCTTATTTCTTTATAAGAAGAAAAATGTAAATAGTCTATTCTTTTCACATTTATCTTGACTGAGGGGGCAGTTGTGTTCAACATCAAATATATTCTGCTCGATTTTGTGACATTGTGCAGCATTTTTGTTGAAAGATAAAGTGTATCGCTGGAATGCCTGGTTAAGTCACAGTGTAAGTGTTGATTGTAATACTCAAACATACACACACAACAAAGTAAAAACATTACTGACCACTTCTTGCAACAGAATGAAGTAAATGAGGAATTAAATGCCTTCACATCACATACAGATACCACACATTCAACCGTAGTTCAACTACAAATTTTCCTTATAATGTGTTTTAAGGCATGCCTTCAAAACACACAATCATATAAATATTCATGGTACTTTTACGGTACGTTTTGGTCTTTTTTGGGCTTTGCCTGTTTATGCCTGTTAATGCAAGGAAAAGAGCTTAGTTCTGCAAAATATCTATTTTTGCATTCTTTGCAAGAAAATAAAGTCATATGGATCTAGAACAACAAAGTTTGTTGTTTTAATTTTTGAGTGAACAGAAATGGAAATGGTCCTAAGGGGGTTACAAAAAATATATATATAATAATTTAGACATTATTTTGAAAGTAATTAAAATGTTGCGTAATCTATAATAGACATGACCAGTTTTACTCATTAAGAGATGCTGTGTGTGTGTGCATTTTGGATGGGATAAATGCAGAGCACTAATTCCGAGTATTGGCCACATGTCACGTCACTTATGTCTTAAGACTTTAATTAATTAAATTAAAACTTTAATTAATGCTGTCACGTATAACTGCAAAATTAAATGAATTACTAATTACAATACTCTTGAAATTGAAAAATACAAAGCCTGTAAAATTCTAGAAATGGTGAAAAATGTGGAATCGCTTAAAAAAACATTACACATTTTATTTATGTATTAGACCTTTAATGTCATTTTGCTGGCTAGGCTGTTTCCTTGATCTTAATTATATGATGTTATTACATTGCTGTCTCTCCAACCAGCCAATCACTGCACTGCTGATCATGGTTTCTAGTAACAATATATCTGCCCTTTCCAATGAGCATGTCAACACGGAGTAATCTCAGACAACTTAATCCAGATATTTTAATCAAATTCTCTAACTTGTTTGAAGAACAAAATTAGCCAGAGATCAGTTATCAGGATTAAAAGATCTGGCATCTGTCAAATTATCTCAGATGTATTAAGCGAGGTACGAAGAATGGACACCAGATATAAATACGGCTTAGATGCATAGATTCGACCCATTTAACAGGTGCATAATTTTAAGTTATAACAGCCTGAGCTGGTGACAAACAATAACAATTCAGTGAAATAATCTAATCTGCAACCAATTTTCTAGACCTCTAAACATGAAAAAAATATATAAGAAAAAAAATTCTTATTTCTTTATAAGAAGAAAAATGTAAATAGTCTATTCTTTTCACATTTATCTTGACTGAGGGGGCAGTTGTGTTCAACATCAAATATATTCTGCTCGATTTTGTGACATTGTGCAGCATTTTTGTTGAAAGATAAAGTGTATCGCTGGAATGCCTGGTTAAGTCACAGTGTAAGTGTTGATTGTAATACTCAAACATACACACACAACAAAGTAAAAACATTACTGACCACTTCTTGCAACAGAATGAAGTAAATGAGGAATTAAATGCCTTCACATCACATACAGATACCACACATTCAACCGTAGTTCAACTACAAATTTTCCTTATAATGTGTTTTAAGGCATGCCTTCAAAACACACAATCATATAAATATTCATGGTACTTTTACGGTACGTTTTGGTCTTTTTTGGGCTTTGCCTGTTTATGCCTGTTAATGCAAGGAAAAGAGCTTAGTTCTGCAAAATATCTATTTTTGCATTCTTTGCAAGAAAATAAAGTCATATGGATCTAGAACAACAAAGTTTGTTGTTTTAATTTTTGAGTGAACAGAAATGGAAATGGTCCTAAGGGGGTTACATACTGTATGATCAGGCAGGTTTAAGCAAGTCTGCTGAAAAGTGAATTAGAGTGGATTTACTCAAATACGATGATAAAGTTAAGCTGACAGACTAAGCTAAACTCAGCTAAGCAAGGCAAAAAGCATTTAAACCAGCTACAGTACCAGATCAAATTAATGTAACATAAGTCATGGCCTCTTACAGTAATAAAGTTAAAGTGTGAACTATATTATGTCTGTTTCTGACATTTGTAAGGATAAAAGAAACTCAGATACTTTGATCTCCTGAGAAACAGACAATACACTGGCATCTTCAAGACACCCCACAGAGGGGTGGTGCAGGAAACGCCTCTCTCACATATGCATCAGTGCCTTTTCATCTCCTCCCTCCACTGGATTCACTCAGAATGGTCAATAGTATAATGTTCTATATGATTGCAAATAAGATTTACAGTCATGTTTGGTTTCATTTGAATAGTCTCAGGGTGAGTGGTACAATGGTTTTAATCTTACAAAAGTAGACTAAAAGATAATACAGATCCTAAGAGTTAAGAGATACTTTGATTACTGTAGAGGGTCATTCCATGCAAATTACCTTCTGTTCCCATTGAGGTGTAAACCATCCAGGCCTGGGACCTGGGTTAATGTAAATTCCAATTGTTTGTACATGCCTCCATTTGGGGGATGTTTTATTTTGGTTTTGTATTTAAAGGATTGTAGCAAAAGGGTCGGCGTGATTCTGTAGTCAGAGAGCCCGTAGTATGGAATGTGTCCACACACAGATTAAGTTGTACTCAGTTAAATTTAACCATGCATATTGTTTCAGCATTAATTAAGTTGTACGTAGTTATACTAACTATCGGGGTCTAGACAAGGGGTTCTAGAAAAACCGCTGATTAATGTTTGGAGCGTTAATTAAGTTGTACGTAGTTATACTAACTATCGGGGTCTAGACAAGGGGTTCTAGAAAAACCGCTGATTAATGTTTGGAGCGTTAATTAAGTTGTACGTAGTTATACTAACTATCGGGGTCTAGACAAGGGGTTCTAGAAAAACCGCTGATTAATGTTTGGAGCGTTAATTAAGTTGTACGTAGTTATACTAACTATCAGGGTCTAGACAAGGGGTTCTAGAAGAACCGCTGATTAATGTTTGAGCATTACATTGGTAACTGTAGGGGGCTAAACAGACCTACTATTTAAAGCATATCAAATAGTATTAGTCACAAACCTCTGGCTAAGGATCAAAGGAGTTTGTGTGACAGATTCCTAATGAACGAGTAAATATAAGTAAAGAGTTAACTAGAATAATCAAATGTCAGAATAATTAGAGACCGACAAACAACCAATTTGCCTTTCAACCTAAATTTGAGGTCATACTAAAATGGAGTCAGATTTGAGTTAAACCTAAATTGAATAACTCTGCGCGCTGAAAAGACCGAACACGCAAGTAACCTTCATCCACCACTGGATACCTTCCTTGGGCCAAGTGCGTGGACCTTACACATTAATGTGTAAGTGTATTAGGGCTAATTTGCATATATATGCACATTCATGGTTTTTACGTGTCCCGGAACGTCAGAGGTGTCTTGTAAGAATTTCACCTTTTGATCATGAATATTAATAAAAACTGGGTATGGCTTCATTGCTATGGTTTGTGTGTTTCTGAACAAGCTATTACTTTTGGGCACAACACTGGCAAAAAAATTTAATAAAAATAATAATAATAGTAAATGTTTAGTGATGCTATGCTAGTGGCAAAAAGGTGTAAAGGTAAAGATGATGATTGCTAGCATGTAGAGTAACTCACGCAGCAATAGATAGGTTGGCAGCAGACAGTGGGCTCACTTCCGCCACTTCTTTCGCTTTCTGGAGTGCAATCTTTTGTGTTGTGGCCTCCTCTACTTCCTGTTCATCCTAGAAAAAAATAAAACATTGTTGGGCATTAAAAAAATTTGTATGAAATTGACATGAATGGTGTATCTTAGAAAGAGAAACTGTTTTTAACCTTAGTTAGTTCCTGAGCATTGGCCAAGTTGTCCACAGCGATAGCCAAGAATACATTCAGTAGTGTGTCTGAGAGGTTAGAGTTAAGAAACAACTTTAGAAAAACAAGGCTTGTGTTTTATAATGTGTGTCTGTATCCTGTAACCACATCATAAGTGGACAGTGCTAAATATACATGACTGGATCTCTCAAAACACATTCAAAGGTAGTCAAAAATGAATAGTACTGCAAATTCAAACTGCACAACCTCATGTGGGTAAAGTAAAGGACAAGTATATTTGGAAGAAATAATGTATTGATATTTCCCCCCACATTTAATTTAATTTAAATTTAAATTTAAATTGTATTGTATTGTATTGTGAAAACCTGACCTAAGTAAGTTTGTAAGTTTGTAAGTTTGCTGTAAGATTTTTATTTTTTGAAAGAGATTAATATTAATATTCAAAAAGGATGCATTAACTTGAACAAGTGACAGTAGACTTTTACCTTGTTACAAAGTGTGAAAAATTATATTTCAAATAAATCCTTTGAACTCTCTATTCATCAAAAAATCCTGAAACAAATGTATCACAACTTCCACAAAAATATTAAGCAGCATTGATCAACATTAATATATGTTATAATAATAACAATGTTTTTTTGAGCCCCAAGAATAAATTCTAAAGGATCATGTGACACTGAAGACTAGAGTAATGACTGCTGAAAATTTAGCTTTGCCATCACAGCAATTAATTCCTTTTTTAAATATTTTAAAATAGAGAACAGTTATTTTAAACTGTAATAGTCCTTAAAATATTACTGTTTTACTGTATTTATAATTAAATAAATGCAGTAGCGTATGTAGTAATGAAAATGCTCATGTGATTCTGTGTGGTTAAGAAGGATACAGTTGCCAAAGAGTGTAAGGACAATGAAGAATATGGAGAAGACCATTCCTTTGTCCACCCCTCCCTGAGACTTAATGCCGTCATACATCACTACGTTCCAATCCTCTCCGGTTAGAATCTGAGAAATACACAGTCTATTTTAACACAAAAAAACAGAACTCCATGCATATTTGATCCGCACACACATAAGCTTGTTTAAGTAGAATTAGCTATTTTCTTTATCTTTACATGCCTTAAAATGCTATGCAGACAGCTCACTAGGTTTTAGAACAGATCTATTGTCAAACCAACATAACCAGTCTACCTGAAACACTGTCATAATGGCAGCAGGGAAAGTATCAAAGTTTGTGGGAGGAGTGCCTAGCTCAAAGTTAAACCTGGCAAAAAAGAAAACATCAAATGGTCTTTTACAACAATAACATGTTATGCATAGTGATTGGTCATTTGTATCTGAGAAACTGAATAAAGTGTTGGCAGCAGGGTGTAAATCTATACTGACTGTCCACCGAACAGCTGCATCCCGAGAAGAGCAAAGACCACGATGAAGAGGAAGAGAAGGAAAAGCAAACTGATAATGGACTTCATGGAGCTCAGAAGCGACACTACTAGATTACGCAAAGATGCCCAGTATCTGAAAAAGACAGAAAGAAATCTAGTATTAAAAACTGTGAAGAAACAATGACACTTTTATACAAATAGTTCACACAAAAATGAAAATGAAAATTGAGAACATATTGCTTAGATTTGCAGATGGCTTAAATTTCAGTCTTTTCTTCACAAAAATCTATCGTATTGCTTTAGAAGACATGAAATACAGTGTTTGGACTACTGCTTCTGTGCTTTCATGATGCTTTTTTGTTATTTTTAGACCTTGACAGCCCCAGTCTCCATTGACTTTCACTATATGGAAAAGAACAGCATGAACATTGGGCATAACATTTTTTCCACAGGTATGAAATGATGTAAGGTTGAGAAAACTTTTGCTTGAACTATTCTTCCTATCTAAACAAACCCAACCAAAGACATGAAAAATCAGCAGTGTAAACTTGTACTCGTTTCAGATTCCAAAAAGAGGACAACACAAAAACTGATGGACGACGCATAGGTTAAATTAAAGCACCGCAACGCACTTGGTGACTTTGAAGATCCTAAGCAGTCGGAGAGCTCGTAACACGCTGATTCCAAAGGATGTCCCTGGCTTCACCATGGCCCAGAACACCTCAAATATGCTGCCAACGATGACCTGAAACAAGCACACAGCCAAATCCCAAAACAAATAAGGAACACTCTGAGGACTGGCTAACAAGGACTTAAGTCTGGATCTAATGTAGGTCAGCGGCTTGCGGAGGTTAAAATCAGAGGCAGAGAGAAAAAAGCAAAAGAGAGGGAAAGTGAGACTTTAAATGGGCCAAGAGAGAAGGGCACTCACGGCACAGTCGAAACAGTTGAAAGAGGAGTGGAAATAAGGGCGCGTCCCCAGTCCGTACATCTTAATCAGCATCTCTGACATAAAGAGGCCTAGGAAAATGAACTCAGCATAATCTGTAGAAAAAGAGAAAAAGAGACAAGACAGATAAAGTTGGAGAAAAGGAAACAGAGGGTGTTTACTGACAACAGAGAAATCCAAGAACTATTTGAGGAGAGAAATGGAGAATGGGACAGGATGCAGGCCAGATTTGAAACTATTGGCACTTTTCCACTGCATTGTACGGCACGGTACGGCTCGGTACGGTTCACTTTTTGGGGGTTTTCCACTGGGTACAGTACCTGGTACCTGGTACTTTTTTTAGTACCACCTCGGTTGGGGTTCCAAGTGAACCGTACCGTTACCAAAACGTGACGTGTAAAAACCGGAGAGAATTGTCACTACCTGCGTCACTGAACTTGCGACACAAACACAACAGAACCGCTAGATTTAAATCAGCACAGCCAGCGAAGGATCGAACGCAACTGTTTTGAACAAGCACACCTTTTTTAACAACCAAAAATTGGCTGTTTCGTTGTCTGTTGAGGAAGTACAGATGTTCCTCTCGTTGATAGTAGAGGAGCGGATCCAGCGAGAGCTTGATGGGGCGACGTGGAATGAAAACGTTTTTCAGGAGTCGCGGCAATAGAGGCGGCGCAACTATAACGACATGTGAATAATCCTGTCCACTCTAAAGCGGTACTGAACTGCCGTGGAAATGCAAAACGAGCCGTGTCGTACCGTACTGAGCCGTGCCAAGTCGTACCACACGGTGGAAAAGTGCCATATGTCTCCCATAATAACAAATGTAAAAACAAACAACTTAGGTTTACTCACAGAGGAAGTCCGACAGTAGTTCGGGCTGATCGTAGTGTACTACAGCCACACACAGTGTGTTGAGTCCCACCAGGCTAAGGACAGTCCAGTAGAACGCCTGAGTCTTTACAATCTTTCGAATCAAGAAGCGAAGACGTCGCTCTTTCTTGCTAAATGCAGTCCCATCTCCCTTTCCGCTCTTTATGCTCCCACGAGCAAAAGGTGTGCCTAAGAATATACACACATAGCAGTACAACATCTGGCATGAATACTACAGGATCTTTAAGTATAAGCTATTATGTGATTCAAAAGACAGAAACATTTTTATTAATCAAATGAGTTGTCTTCCTTAGGATCTGAATGATTCTTACCAACTGCGTCTCCCATGTGGTCCTCTCCTTCTTCTGGATTTAACAGGTCAGCTTTGTTTTTCTTTATGGTGGGCCTGCGACAAGTTCCTTCACAAAAACACATTCACTGTGAATGATTACTGCATTTTAGGCATTAAATGGGAAAAGCACGACACAGGAACATTCATACTGTTACCGGTGCCATCGTCGTCCTCGGCGAGTATGACTTCCTCTGGAAAAAAAAAAACTGAAAAATGCTTTATTCATACTAGATTTGAAGTTTCCATTATTTTCACTTGAATCTTCTTTATGCAAAAACACCAACAGGTCCAAAATAGTCAATACATTCTGCAGGAAATAAATTTTTATTTATACACTTGTGTATGTGTTTTATGCACATACCTGCTTTACAGATCCACTCCAGATATCCATTGAGCTCTCTCTCAATCTGCTGCTGACGTTTGAGCTTGAGGAACTCGCTCCTGTTCTCCACACGCTCTCTTTCTTTGGCAAACTCACTTGGGGGGCGAGGATGGGGTGTGCGGGGAGGAAGACAGACAGGAGGACAGAAAGATACCTGTATAGTTAGCAACTTACTAAACTTCCAACATTGTTTTATACTAATGAAGGATGGATGAAATAATAGATAGAACAAAAGATACAACAGAACAATAAAGAGGGAGAAAGATATAATTATAGAACAATAAACAGATAGACAAACAGATAGAACAACAAATGATACATTGATAGAACAAAAGAAAGAACGATCAAAAGAACGACTGACAGAAAAAGAGATCTATAATTAGACTGATGGAACAAATTATACTGACAGAAGGATGGATGGATGGATTGAGGTCAGATAGGCAGATAGATAGATAGATTTAGTTAATAAAAATAAGAACAGAAGAGCAAATTACAAACAATAGGACAAATACAATAGAACAAAAATACAAATTAAATAAACTAAGTTGTTCAGTTAGTTGGTTTATTTAACATAGTAAGAAATAATACAGAATAACTAAAACTGCATAACTAAAACACTAAATAGTCTTCATAGAATGAATTAAATATGAACTGTGTTTGTGTGAATACTCCCCACAACAGGCATTTTGACACAATTGTGTGTATCTGACCATTCAAGCGTATATTTTTATTATACTTTATTTTCGTGTATATAACTATGTAACGTGTATATAACTATATAATAAGTAGTAGGCTACTGTGCTACGTGGATATATTTACATACCGCAAAATAAACAATATAGCAAAATACCGTTGTCACAATATATAACGTCATACCGCCCGGATGGATGGATGGATGGATGGATGGATGGATGGATGGATGGATGGATGGATGGATGGATGGATGGATGGATGGATGGATGGATGGATGGATCTTACCCTGAGAGGACACCCAACACCAGATTAAGCATGAAGAAGGATCCGATGATGATGAGGGGAACATAGTACATCCAGTTCCAGGCACTCCCTAAGGCATCATTGCTCTGTAATACACCCACATTTACCCAACATTATCATCTAGAATCAAAGTCCAGTTTAAAAAACAGAATCATAGTTAAATCATCGCCTTTAACTCGTAATTACTATTACTATTAACTTACGTAATAAAGCATATCAGTCCAACCCTCCATGGTGATGCACTGGAAAACAGTGAGCACGGCAAAAAGGACGTTGTCGAACTGTGTGATGCCATAGTTTGGCCCGAGCCAGTATTCAGAACACACCAACCCATTCTGACACTCTCGAGCTGGAAATTCCTCACCACAGGGCTGTTCATCAACCATTTCGCCTGGATAATGTAAATGCACAGGGTTTTGTAAAAGGCATACAATTTCAAAGGTCAACTGTTTTTCGTTTGTCTTTTGAGACAAGCGCACCTGTGATATTGTCGAAGCAGGTGCGGTGGAATTTGCCCATGTAGAACTCCAGGCCAATGATGGCAAACATAAGGATGGCCACAAATAAGAGCACACCAATTTGCAGTAGTGGAATCATAGCCTTCATAATAGACTTCAGCACCACCTGCAGGCCTGGAGAGTAATGGCACTATTGTATGTAGTGTAAAGAACTCTGACAGACATTGATAAACTCAGACAGACAGAATACTTACTTGGAATTCCTGACACCAGTTTTAGCGGCCGCAACACTCTGACTGCTCGCAATGTCCGCAGGTCTAATTCTGACCCCACGGAGGACAGGATACTGGAGGAGAAACAGAAAGAAAGGAGACAATTTTATTATATGCCATTAAAGTGGTTTATATTCTATTTTCTGCTCTTCCATTTGTATAGAGCCATCTGTGTATCAGCAATTTTTTTCTCCAAATTAGGACATCTCCATACGTCCTAAATTTTGTCATTTAGCTACAGCAAAGTACAGTCACAAGCAGACACATTATCCTGAGAAGAGCTCAATCGCAGGTAAATAATTGATCAGACACTGCTCTGTTCTCACATCACACACTGGTCTGATCATCTGATCGTATTATATGCCATTAAAGTGGTTTATATTCTATTTTCTGCTCTTCCATTTGTATAGAGCCATCTGTGTATCAGCAATTTTTTTCTCCAAATTAGGACATCTCCATACGTTCTAAATTTTGTCATTTAGCTACAGCAAAGTACAGTCACAAGCAGACACATTATCCTGAGAAGAGCTCAATCGCAGGTAAATAATTGATCAGACACTGCTCTGTTCTCACATCACACACTGGTCTGATCATCTGATCTTTAAATGTGAGTGTGTGTGTATATGAGTGCACCTGTGTGTCAGGTAGCACATTTGGTCAGGGTGCTGCATCCCTCTTTTAACACACACACACATATATATATTTATTTAAAACCATTTACACAAACACACACACACACACACACACACACATATATATATACAGTATATTTACATATATCCTATGTGTATATGAGTGCACCTGTGTGTCAGGTAGCACATTTGGTCAGGGTGCTGCATCCCTCTTTTAACACACACACATATATATATATTTATTTAAAACCATTTACACAAACACACACACACACACACACACACACACATATATATATACAGTATATTTACATATATCCTAATATATATATATATATATATATATATATATCAGTGGCGTTCCATCCATATAAGCTGCGAATGCTCCACATACCCAGGCCATTTGAGAGAGTAAGTTCACGGGATAATTCATATAAACATGATTATAAGTTGATCCCTTGTCCTTTGAAATTTAACTTATAGCTTAAAGAGTTAGGAATAAGTACGTACAATGATTTATTTGCGAAACAGCAGTAATTTTCTTCAAATCTACCAGTTGCGGTTGCTTCCAGGCAAGCGGATTCTCCACAGCTTTCTCGCCTCCGCTCGGTTGCTATGACTCGTCAGGATTATAGCGCATTCTCAGTGATTTGCTGGTCTGCGGCTGATTAATGGGCGAGGTAAGCTATCTGCAAAGCGCTCGCCCAAGCGGAAAAATGTGCTGTTGCTGTCAGATCTCGATTGCCGAAAATCACATTGTGTTTGATGCAAAACCAACTCGACTAAATCAAAAGAAGAAAACACTGTAACTGTATATTTTTGTTTTCTCAAGCAAAGCAAATTTTAAAAGTCCACTGAAAACATATCTTCTTACATTTTTGGTCATAGACAACGTATGTTGAAGATATACGTTATTGTCAACGTTATTGCCTAAGCGGTAAATACATTTTTTTTTTAATTAAAAAGTGGGCTATATACAAATTTTAATAATAACAAACATCATATTGTTCCCTTTGTTTTGCGTATGCTCATGTCGCTTACAGTTAAAGTCCTTCTCTGATTTTATTATTGTTTGCAAGATTGCAATGTTACTTTGCAATATTTTTTATATTTTTTGGTATTTTGCATGGTCTGTTATTGGAGTAGTGTCACCCGGGTGGGAATTTGAACTCCTATTCACTCAGAATAAAAAAATCTTATCGCAGATGCAGAGACATAGAGCGGGGGAATCCCCCCCATCTCCCCACCCTCTGATTACGTATCATAACGTAACTACGTGTAAACGTTATTTGGCGATTTTTACTTGGAAAACCAGCTATATTTGTCTTGCATTCGAATAATGGATAAACTTGAAACGATAGAAGAATTGGAGATTAATTTAATTTACAAATAAGGTAGGAAATGAGCATACTTTTAAATCGACAGCTAAGTTTCTTAGCTATTTGTCATCTGTGATCCCTTTTGAGTATCCTAAAAGCCGGGGGGGCTTTTACTCAGCCCCCCCCGGCTTTTAGGATACTCACTCAGCATACCCGGTTAAAAAAAGTCACCGCTCGCCACTGATACATATATACAGTATATATATTTACCTCTTTTGAAATAAACATTTTATTTCCTTCATATGCACCTCAGACATTAAATATCTGAATACAATCATATATAAGCACACATTCATTTACATTCACATATATATATATACATACCTGTGTGTGCCCATATATACATGCACATATTACATGTGTTGTGTACATAGTAAGGAGAAAAAAAACCTGTTATATAATTTAAAAAATAAAAATTACACTTCTTTATGTATATATATATATATATATATATACACAGAACTTTACAAAAGTCTTAGGCCATTAGTATTTTCACCAACAACAAAAAATGGTTTTAAGACAGTTATGTAGCGTCTGGACCACTCCAACACACAATATATATTTTGTTAGCTAGATTTCACAAATACTTTGTAACACCCCAGGACGCCGAACAAGACCCTGGTTTCATGGTAACCCGATACATTTACAACCTTGTGGAATGCGAGCCGGCTCTCATTCTGCTTTCTCCAGAAACAAGGGGTAAAAATGCACAGGAGAAATGGACTGTTCTACTAATTAATTCATAGGAAAACCTTCTTTGAATGAACACCCATTTTCTTCAGGCCAGTGTGTATATTATTGCTGTGTTGTATTTAATCTGTTGTATTATAGACTATTTTTATCCGTGCTTACGATAAACCACACATTCATATAAGTAACTATTTCATGTCTAGTATCTATGAATTCGCCTTCCTATGATCGAAACAAGTGTGTATATTATATGCTGATACCTATGCAACATATTGATGTTCTAAGAATCGGTACTAATTTGTGCCTCAACACTCCAGCGAATTACATATGCAAAATACCATGCTTACAGACAAAGACTCATAAAAATCCTCAGTATTTCCAACCTCCCGCTTGGGATTTCAGCCTTCCTCATTGGACGAACCCATCTTGAGAGGCGTGAATCTCTGCAGGCTTTAAAAGGCCACACTCCATGTGACCCGCCCATGTCGGTGGTTCAGGGAGATGCTAAGATGAAGATGTGAGAAACGCTCCAGGATACCAAAGCTCGTGCCAGGCTCCGGCCTAGTCCTTTTCATTCATCAAGTGATTCTGACTCAAACTAGCTCTTTCTCATCAACCAACTTCAGCAAGATCTTGGGGCCTTAAGATTGCATCAGGAATCTTTTTCAGACATACGCAAGTATCAAACTTAGTCGATTTAATTGATGCATTAAGTATCAGTTACACCTTTTTACAAAGGTGTGTTTGAACTCAGAATCTGACGTATCCCTGAAGGCTTTGATCTGTTGAATATACATGCAAAGTGTTCCATAAAATCCATTCTTTATGCCTCTTTCTATGCTGAGTTAAACTTTAACCCTTTCCTATACCAACTGTATGTGTGTGTGTGTGTATGTGTATGTTAGACCGGCTTAATGTGTTTATGTAGTATGTTAGACTAGTTTAAGTGTTTATGTAGTTAATAAAACCTTACTTGTATCACACTTGACGTGTTCATTGTTTACTCATAACCGGAGTCAATAATCATGCAGATTTACGTTACAAACTTATAGAACGGCTTTTAGGAAACTCACTCAGCATACCCGGTTAAAAAAAGTCACCGCTCGCCACTGATACATATATACAGTATATATATTTACCTCTTTTGAAATAAACATTTTATTTCCTTCATATGCACCTCAGACATTAAATATCTGAATACACTCATATATAAGCACACATTCATTTACATTCACATATATATATATATATACATACCTGTGTGTGCCCATATATACATGCACATATTACATGTGTTGTGTACATAGTAAGGAGAAAAAAAACCTGTTATATAATTTAAAAAATAAAATTACACTTCTTTATGTATATATATATATACACAGAACTTTACAAAAGTCTTAGGCCATTAGTATTTTCACCAACAACAAAAAATGGTTTTAAGACAGTTATGTAGCGTCTGGACCACTCCAACACACAATATATATATTTCCATCTAGTAAGAAATATCAGTTTACATTTCTTATTTTTGCCATTTATTGTAATAATCCAGTGAGATTATTATCATTCAGTCCGTCTTGGATTACATGAAGACCAAATCCAGAAGAACTGTGGCAACATCTCCAAGACACTTCAAGAAACCTACCTGTAAAGCTACCTGAAAAACTATGTGCAAGTGTACCTAGGACAAAAACGTTTTTAAACAAAAAAAGGGTGGTCACACCAAATGTTGATTTGATTTAGTTAAGTTAAGTTATAAGTTAATTGATAAATAATTTATTTTATTTAGAGCACTGGCTGTTGTCAGACTCCTTGTGCAAACAAAAATCTCACTGGATTACTGCAATTAATGGCCAAAGGAATGTTTGGAAATGTAAACTGATATTTCCCACTGACACACAACAGCAAATGATAGAAAAATAACTGGCTTAAAATAATTTTTTTTGTTGGTGAAAATACTAAAAAAGACTTTTGCACAGTACTATATATATATATATATATATATATTGATCTTCACATACAGTAACTTTACATTTTCTTATAATATCATCCAGTTTACGGCATTCTTCTCAGTTGTTCCAAAACCATTTCTCCTGAATAAGGGCTCTAACAAAAGCTGTGTTGATGGACCACCGCTGTTTGTCGGAAATATATATATATATTTTTTGTTTCTCCTCAACCCACCAATGATGCAGGACTCAATGAGATGTGTCCTGGATGCAGTGTGAGATTGGTTAATACAAACGCTTGTTGGTGAAAACAATGTCTATATATATATATATATATATAAAAATAACTAATTATAAAGAAGTGTAATTTTATTTTTAAAATTATATAACAGGATATATGTAAATATAAATATATATATACTGTATA